CTATCGAACGTCTGCCGAGATAAATAGTTTGATAAGTAACATCAGTGTAAAATTAAACTTATCAAGCGCAAACGTTCGGAAAGACACTGGGGTGCAGTGATCATTGAGGTAAGGAGTGAGAAAAGTAAAATATGGTCGCTCAATTAGGTTCATTTGATACATAAATCCTGTTGTAATGCATCCTTGGCGTAATCCACAGTAGGGGAGTTTAGGTAACAAAATGTTGGGACCTAAGAGCAACATCTAATCGTTTTTTGAAAACATCCAAGGTAGGAGAGGATACAACTGAGTCTGGGAGTGCTTTCCAAGGTTTGCATACCCGAAGAGAAAAGTAATTCCGTCGACACTCTAGACGGCTGTATTGTTCCTTCAACTTTAAGCAGTTACCCCTGAGCTGCGTGTTGTGGTTAAGTTTCAGCAAATGGCGGCATACGTGGTTGGGGTCACTCAATATTTGATACGCTAATATGAGATCACCGCGCAGTCTTCGATAGCGCCCGCTGAAAATTCCCAGCAACTTCAGCCTTCGGTGGTAAGAGTGATAGCGCAGGCCCTTTACATTCTTTGTTGCTTTCCGTTGTGGTGCTTCTATCGCTTCTAGGTCACGCTTCAACCAAGGTTGCCAAGCTTGGATAGCGTATTCAACATGCGGGCGCACGTAGGAATTGTGCATCATTCGGAAGATTGATGGGTCATATCTCCTGAATGCCCTTCGCAGCATGCAAACATGCTGGTTGCCTCTTTTCGCAGCTACCTCAGCCTATTTTGAACAGTTGAGGTCGCTCTGTATGATCACACCAAGATCACGTTCCTGGAAGCTATTCTGCAGTCCGTTGGTCCCAAGCAAATAGGTGTAGTTATGTCTATGGCGTAATTGTACGACGCGACATTTGTGTACATTGAACGGTAGGGCGTTTTGGACTGACCAGTTCGACACTGTGTTAAGATGGCACTGGAGCCGTTCATGGTCGTCCGGTCCTCTGATCCTTCGCCATATCTTGATATCATCAGCGAAAATAGAAATCTTAAGCAATTGATCTCGCCAAATCGTTAATGAACACCAAGAATAGACGAGGTCCAAGAACCGAGCCTTGTGGTACTCCGCACGCCACATCCATTGCATCAGACAATGATTCTCGGACTCTCACAACTAGCCGTCGTTCTTGTAGAAAATTGTCAACCCAACTCAGGATTGGGTCGCCAATGCCGTAATTCCGAAGCTTCTGAAGGAGAATGCGATGGTTTAAGCGATCAAATGCTTTTGAAACGTCCAGGTAGATGACATCGACTCCTACTCCATCATCAACAGTTTCAGTCCAGCTATTACGTGCAATTAGTAGGTTAGTATTACACGAATGCTTTTGACGAAAGCCATGTTGCTCTGGGGCTAGAAAATTGTGGCTTTCCAGGTATTCCATCAGCGCGTCTGCGATGATTGATTCCATCACTTTGGATGGTACGGGAAGTAGTGTTATTGGTCGGTAGTTGGCAGGATCAGTGCGGCTACCTCCTTTATGAATAGGAGTGATGACCCCTCGTTTCCATACTGGTGGAATACGGTCCTGCTCTAGATATCGCTGATAGAAAATAGCCAGTGGTGCTGCTAGATCACTAGCTACCGCCTGAAGAGCATTTGGTCGGATGTTGTCAGCTCCGGGAGCACTGTGGATACGCAAGCATAACAACTTCTTCAACACAGCTTCCGCAGTGAAGGTGATGTTTTCTAAACCAGATGGTGGAGTAGTAGAAACGAGGAGAATGTTTGTGCTCGTTACCTCCTGGAAAGTTCGGGAGTAATGAAGCCGTAGGAGATCAGCTGCTTCCATTGCTGATCGCGTGCACCCATCAGCCGTGACTAGTGCTGAAACCCCTCGCTTTACCTTTCGAAGGCCGTTAACGTGCCCTGTACAGGAGTTTGCGATTCGTGCAGAATCGCTTCATTAACTTCTGCTGATGAGTGACCTTGTCTTCGCGGATCAGTTTCACACAGAAGTTACGATGTGTCACGTATGCAGTCCAGGTTTCGGCATTCGGGCATTCCTGGTGATCTCGCCATGCTAAATCCCTCCGGGACATACATTTACGTGTCCTGCTCCTCAGAAATGTATTACGCTTGCTTTTAGGTTGGAAGGAATTCTGCTCTGATGCGTGCGCTACCAGTGTACTAAACGTCCTTGTAAATGTTTCCCAGGCAGCATCTGGGGGGCATTCGGTTAAGAAAGTCCAAGATGTATCCTTAACAAGCTTAGACAAAACATTGAAGTGTGACAGTATGCACTATATCCTCCTCCTTTTCAGGGTTCTCGGCATAGAAATTATATAGTCAAAGAGTAGAGTAACATGATCACTACGACCCAGTGGTGTGCTTGTAACTATCCCGCTAACCATGAGTTCTTCGTTGGTGAGCACAAGATCCAGTATCGACAGCTTGTTATCAGTTCGAAATGTGGTGGGAGAGGTTACGTGGTTGTAAAGAGGGTGGCTAGCAATAAGCTCTTGCAAGCAGGGTTTAAGCTGCATACCGTCGGTTGCTGGCGTTTCTATGTCACGCAAGTTAAAGTCTCCCGCGATAAGAATGTGGGTATAGGACTTGTTCAAAGCAAACTGGAGTACAAGGGCAAGATGAAATCGTTTTCATAATATTTCCAAAGTGGCGGTTGGAACTAGTAAGTTTGGTAGAAAGTTCCATGGTTGGTATACCCGAAAAAAGATTATTTCCGCCGGCATTTCAGGCGGCTATAATCTTCAATCAATCTCAGATGGCTAGCTCTAAGACTGAAGTTATCTTTGAGCTTTTGCATGTGACGGCATAAGAGATTCGGTTCACACAATTTTTGTAGACTAATATGAGTTGGCTGCTCAACTTTCGGTAGCAAAGACTCCAAATGAAATCAGCCTTTACTGAAAGGACAGATTTCCTACATCCTTGACCTTTATTGTGGTCCTGTGTTGTCGTTTCTAGCACTTCTTAGTCACGCTTCAACCAAATTCGCCAACATTGCATGGAGTATTCAGCGTGAAGGCGCACGTAAAAGTTGTACGGCATGGGAATTCGGATTGGTCGAAACTTCCGAATGCTGTCTATGGAGCAAATCGACATGCTAGTTGGCGCATTTCGCAGCTGCATCCGACTGCATCGAGCCCATAAGTTCATCTTGAATAGGCGCACCAAGCCCGCATTCTTGGGAAATTGTTTGTAATACATGTGACCCAAGCTTATACACGTAGTCATGCCTATGGCACACTTGAGCAGCGTGACAATTTTCCACATTGTACGGTAGTGTATGCTGAATCTAACGGTTTGAAATCGTGCTGAGGTCACGCTGGCGTTTTCCGTGCTTGTTCGGTTCTCGAATCCCTCGCGATAACTTGCTGATATCCGCGAAGTTTAGAAAATTGAAGTAATTTCCATCGACAGATAGTTTATAAAAATGAACGCGGTCCGAGAACCGAACCTTGCAGTACTTCGCACTCCGCCTTATTGCGCCGGACAGTGATTCTCATACACTCAGTTCCAATCGACGTTCGTGAAGGAAATTGCCTATCTAACAGAGCAGTGCGACAGCATTGATATAGAGCTGAAGCTAATAGAGGAAAATCCAATAGGCTTAGTGAGCAAACGCATTGAAAGTCTAGGTAAATTACATCAACTCCTGCTCCACCATCAACTGCTTCAGTCCAGCTATCGCGTGCAACTATCAAGCTTTTAGTGCATGAGCGCTTTTATTGGATGCGATGCTGCTCTAATGCTATCATCTTGTGATTTTCAAGATACTGCATGAGTAAATCAGCGATGATAGACCCCATAATCCGGGAAAGCACAGTGAGCAGCGTTATAGAACTGTAATTAGTTGGGTCAGTGCCACTACCTCCATTATGAATAGGAATGATTACCCCTAGTTTCCATATTGTTGAAATTTGTTGGTTCCCTAGACAACACTGATAGAAATAGCCAGAGGTTCCGCTAGATTACCGTATGTTGCTTGTAAAGGCTTTGGCCGGATTTTGTATACACCTAGAAAGCTGTGATTACACAGGAACAACAGTTTCTGTAACACAGTTTCAGCAGTAAAAAGAATATTGGATAAAGCTGACGGTGGGACCATATGAATAATGATAGCCGTTGGGCCCGTTAGGAACTTGCACGTTTGTGTATAATCGAACCGCAAGAGATCGTCTGCTTCCGTTGCTGATTGCGAGTACTCGTCAGTAGAAACCATTGTTGGAATTCACGTTATACAATATGTAGGTCATTAACATGCCTGTATAAGAGTTGGAGGTTTGTGCAGAATCGCTTCATAAACTCCTGCCGATGCGTCACCTTATCCTCGAGTATGTAGCTCACAGAGTAGTTACGTTGTGGCACGTATTCTAGAAGAACATCTGTTCATGTCTTTCATTCGTAACGGCTACCCACGCCGTTTCATCCGAAGACACCTAAACCGAAGGAGCACAACTACCACATCTGCACCAACGACGACGAAACACATCGCCTTGCCGTTCATCATAAACATATCGGAAAAGACAGCCAGACTCCTCAAACCGCACAACCTGATGATAGCTCACATACCAACTGGGACTTTGAAAAGAATATTATCTAGACCTAAAGAAAGACTGGACGCTCAAGAACACCAAAATGTCATCTACAGGATAAAATGCGAGAACTGTGACAAAGACTATGTAGGTCAAACGGGGAGAAAACTATCCACAAGAATAAAAGAGCACAAGCGTGCGTGTCGATATCATCATGTATCGTCACAGATCTCAGCGCACCTCGATGAGGAAGGACACAATGTTAACTGGGACAAAACAGAAATTCTGGCGCACGGAGGGACAAGAAAAGGAAGGGAATTCCTCGAGGCATGGTTCTCTACGGAGAATTCCCTGAACCTCAGCATTGATCTCGATCCCGTGTACCTACAGCTGAGAAAGCGTGAAGCTGGACGGCTAAGTATCGAACAAACAGAGGTCACGGGACACTGATCGACGAGGCTAATTTCAAGCGCTACTTCCCAACGACATTTTCCTTGAGCTTTTCCAGTACCGCGCTTTGAAATTTTGTAAAAGCTCTATCTTGCAATTTCTACCTTTAAATTTGGCTTGGAAGCGTGATCTAGAGTGACTGAGTGGGGAATTTTTACTCTGCTCCATCAAATATTGATCCAAGGTACCTTGGATCTTCGTTAACCGCTTAACCGCGTCAGTCAAGACCTGAATTGGAGTGGAATTCGCTGTGAGTCCGTTCCGGGTTTTTTTCTCTGTTTACCTCCGTCTGCTGTTCTGATTGCATTAGGTCATTATCGCTTGCCGTTTTGCTTGTACATAGCCGTTTATAGTACCTCGTGTGTTGACTGTGTTTACTGTATTCACTCTAATCACCATCGGATCAACGTCCCGATGCCAACAATTGCACGTAACAGTACATGCTACGTTTGTCACTCCGAGTCGCCACCACATGTTTGCTGTCTTTGTTGCAAGCGACAGTACCACGGGCGCTGTGCTAAACTCACACAGCCGGAGGTGGACTTCTACACTTCACATACCAAAGCTAAGTGGGTTTGCAATGACTGCGCAGAGTTACTTCACAGAGGCTTCAAAAACAGCCCTATTGGCTCTCTAGATGTGGCAGCCTTTAGAAACTTTCGCAGGGATTTGCAAGTCTCGACGAAGTCCACATCTAAAGGCGTCGACACTTGTGACTTGCCTTCTGGCGTTTTAGTAGCAAACGTAGGCGTTGATACTCGTGACTTGGCATCAGTCGACATCTCAGTTACATCTTCACCACAACCTCAAGGCTTCGACTGTGTTTGCCCAAGCAACCCTCTGCCTGCAGGAGCAGTCTCCGGTGAACAGGAGCTGGACGACACCATACCTATGATCCTTGGCTCATCTCCTCCACGCGACCCGCATCCGTTTCTGATTACAGATGGGAGCAACACCCGAGAACTAACGAATGACTCTCCAGCAAGTGAGCAGACCACAGGAACCAGTGGCGAAATCCCACTGTGCAAATGTTGCAACCCCCCCCCAAACAATCGAGGGACAAACACCGTGCTAAAAACTGCGCCAAGCACACTAAGTGCGCCACGCAATCGCAGGAGAACCCAGGTCCCCAGTTCACACATGTTACACAGCCGAGGCCCTCACAATGCAGCCAAGGCACCAATACGCCTCGGAGCAGTGGCTTGCCAGAATTCAACCGCAAAACTTTGATACTGTTTAATGTGGACGAGAGCGACCACCCGTCACTATCCCACAGAGCCAGTGCCGATCTATCCCAATGGCAATCCTTGCGGCAACTCCTTGGACTGCCGCCTACCTCCTCGCCCCCTCTCTGCCGTCTACGCGCACCCCGCTCACCAGGTGACAAACGCCCAAGGCCGTTACGCTTCACTCTGGAAAGTGCTGATGACGTCGAGGACACGCTCTTGGCATCGGCTTGCTTGAATAAACTGAACACAAAGATCCGCGCCCAGCCAGACTTTCCCTGGGTTGTGAGGGAGGCAAGAAGAGAGGTGCGTATCAACAGCACGTGCGCCAACCACGATAGAGCTTGCAGTATAATTATACACGGAGTCCCAGAACTCCACACTGCCGACCCGGTTGAATCATCCCGCCACGATGTTCAGCAGTGGTGCTATATTCGGTCGCAGCTTAACCTATCAGTGGACAACTGTGGGGCGTGGTCTGTTCACCGGCTGCCGAGGCCAGCTCACCTCTCGCAGATACAGGCGCCTAAACTGCTCATGGTCATTCTTTTCACTCCTGAGATGCGCCAGACTGTACTACAACGGTGGTACGAGCTACGTGGAAACTTCCCGTACGAAGTCAGGATGCATCCAGACAAACCGCGGGAGGAGCGCAGGCAAATTCAGGGACGTAATTCCAAGCCATTCAGCCGAGCCACGCCATCACTACCTATTACGCGACTTGTGGATATACCAAAAAACGAGTAGGCGCCGGCCCCTGTGGGGTCGGCGTAAACCACACTGGAACTACCCTACCATCTATGCCTTCAAGCCACTGCCCGCCAGCAGTTCATGTTAGCACGTGGAACTGCTTGCACACCAACGCTTTATCGCTACGGAACAAGGTGTCCGAAATCTCTTCCCTTGCGCTGGACACGCAAGCTAAAGTTATATGTATAACCGAAACCTGGTTCTGCCCAGACGTTGTGGACGCCGAGGTAGCTATCCCGGGATACGTGCTCTTTCGAAACGATCGTGAAAGCGGCAAAGGCGGAGGCGTAGCTGTGTATGTATCAGACCGCCTCACATGCGTCCCTCTCAAATCTCCGGAACTACTATCTCTTCCCGAATCCCTCTGGATGCGCGTCCGCGGCTCTGGTTCCACCAGTCTCACCCTTGGAGTGGTTTAACGCCCTCCCTCAGCTGCGCCAGAATGGCTGCAGCGCTGGAACGCCGCCCTCCGAGCAGCTGCTTCAGATTTGGCTGCCCCCCTACTCGTCGCAGGTGACTTTAATTTCCCGGAGATAGACTTTACCTCTGGCCAAGCTCGCAGTCAGCACAGCCTTGAGTTTCTTGCCAGTGTTTTAGAACATGGCCTAACCGAACACGTACAGCAGTACACTCGGTGGCGAGACGGTCAAAACCCGTCGAAACTCGACTTGCTGCTCACCAACGAGCCACATCTAATTGACAACGTTAATTTGAGCGCCCCAGTTGGTGCAAGTGATCATGCAGTTATCAGTTTTCGTATGGTGGAGAACGTCACGCTCAACGCTAAAGCACTGCCCATCAGGCTTAACTTTCGTCGAGCGGACTATGACGCGATCAAAGATTTCCTCTCACGAGTCGACTGGTCCCTGGCAGCACAAACCCCCACAGTCGAGGACCATTGGAACTACATCGCCGCCCACATCCACGACGCAATTAGTGCACACGTCCCCACAGTGCGCGCTTATGCGCCGAAACGCCACAGGCAACTTCAGCCTGCTACGCTTAGGCTGATCAGGGAGAAGAAGGCCTTCTGGGACAGATTCTTACTTTTTGGCGACTCTGATTCGCAAGCACAATACTGTAGAGTGCGAAATTCCTGTATAGCAGCTGTTCGCCAGGACAGAAAAGCGTACAAGCTCTCTCTCGCTAAAAGCTTCGCCGATAACCCCAAGGTCTTCTTTAAGCATATAGCGTCTCTCACTAAATCGCGCGCTGCCGTTGGCAGCTTGCTCAGACCCGTAGGCAATACCACAACGTCGGACAAAGAAGCTGCGGAATTGCTGAAGACTCAGTATGAGTCCGTTTTCGGCACCTTCGCACGCAGTACAATGGAAGGCGCTAATTTTACCCCCATCGCTGCCAGACATCCCGTGCAGTTTACATCAGAGAAAGTCCTGGAGAAATTAAAAAAATTAAGGACAGACAAATCGCCGGGTTTGGATGGGATCCCTCTCATATTTCTACGTGAGTGCGCTACGGTACTGGCCGAGCCACTTGCATCACTGTACAGCCGCTCCTACACCAGTGCCGAATACCTGAATGCTTGGAAGCAAGGGGTCATAACGCCGATAGACAAGGGTGGTGACAGGACAAACCCCTCTAATTATCGCCCGATAGCACTGCTTCCCACTGCCTCCAAAGTAATGGAGAGTATCATAGACGATTTCTTGCGCTGCCATTCAGAAAGTCTGTCCTTAATAGCCCCGGAACAGCACGGGTTCCGCAGGGCTCACTCGTGCACCACGAATCTTCTCGCAGCCCTTGATTCCTGGACTGCAGAGGCAGACAATCATACTCCAACTGACGTGGTTTACGTGGATTTCTCAAAAGCATTCGACCGGGTCAATCACGCACTGCTGTTGAGTAAACTGCCGAGTTTGGGGATCGACCAGCAAACAATCTGCTGGCTAAGTACCTACCTGTCTGGCCGCACCTACCGAGTTCGTGTAAACGGCGCACTATCCAGCGCTCTGGCTGCAACGACCGGGGTGCCCCAGGGATCCATCCTCGGGCCCCTGCTGTTCAATTTGTTCATCAACGACCTCCCATCCTGTATCAGCAGCCACATACTGCTTTATGCGGACGACGCTAAGATATGGCGACCTATCCGCAGGCCAAGTGATCAGGCACTTCTCCAGACAGATATCGATGCTGCTTATTCTTGGGCCTCGAAAAACTCGCTCCCGTTTAACATCGACAAGTGCAAAGTCATGCACATTGGGCAAGGTGTGGCTAATCCGTACAATATCGGCGGTGTGCATCTTAAAGCCACGTCCCAGGAACGCGACCTGGGGACCATAATATCCGCCGACCTGAGCCCGAGCGCCAATGTAGCTACACTGGCGCGAAAGGCTAGCGTTCGCCTGGCCCTCCTTGGACGTGCACTAGGGTCTTTCCCTAGAGAGACATTTGTCCGTCTCTATAGCACTTTAGTACGTCCGCTACTGGAGTACAACATACTTGTCCAGCCGCCGTACCTGAAGAAGGACGAGGCCATGCTGGAAACTGTACAGCGCAGAGCCACTAAGAGAGTGGACGGACTATCCCACTTCTTGTATGAGGAGCATCTGGCGGCCCTTAACCTCTTCCCGTTGAAATATCGCAGGCTTCGTGGCGACCTTATCTTAGCTCATTCCGTCCTGACTAATAACAGGCACCCAAACGCAGGATTGCTGGTCCGCGCCCGTACAGATCATCTTCGAGGGCACTCACTCAAACTGATGACTCGTAGCAGTCGCCTTCTGTGCCGAAGAAACAGTTTCAGTGTGCGTATTGCCTTCGCTTGGAACGCCCTCCCTGAAGTTGTTGTCTCAGCGCCCAATACGGAGGCTTACCAACAGCGCCTAGACGCTTGGCTCTTACCTAGCTGGTCTTCCACGTTGCTAAGATCTGGCCATTTGCCAAGCGAACACGCGGCGCTCCTATCATTTTGCTTCTATCCAACTTTGCCGAATTTACCTACACCACTCTCTTGTTCCAGGTATCCACGTTCCCACAGTCAACTCGCTGAATACTTGTGCTGAACACAACTACTGCGTCGAGACCCACAACATCTGGTACCTACCGACGAGATCAGGACCTTGCCGTAAGATCCCGAGGCAGAACCACCGAAAAGCTACGCTTACTCGTTCTGCGGAAACCCGTGAAACCCGTGAAACCCATGGAGCTGTACACTGAAGATGCCACTGAGGGAAGTGGTGAAACGTTTGACATTAAATTACTCAGCTCGGAGAACGAATCAAAACATTTTCTCTGTGTTTTCTGAGGAATACTCTGAATAACAGATGTACTTAAACATGAGGTTGCATGGTCGCTACGGCCTAAAATACTCTATCGATGCCGTTTCTATCATAAGCTCTTCATTGGGGAATACAATATCCCGTCCTAAATGTTATGGGAGATGTGCTATGATTGTAGAGTGGTAGCCCACTGATTATCTCCTGTACTTCCATTTTGAAGTGTTTGTTGATACAGGCTGGGTTTCTTTGGTATGAATATTGAAGTCGCCAACCAGAAGAATGTGGCTGTACGACTGCGAGAGTATGGTCTTCATTGTGGATGCTAGGCGGTTGTGCATTTCCAAGGTAGCCGGCGGAGGGCGATACACCACGCCAAACCAACATGTGTCCCCACGGCTAAATTGAAGACGACACAAAAACGCATCGACAATCTGAACCACTGGGTTATCGGTGTGATCTATGTGTAGTTCGCTGCGATAATAAATTAGTACCCCACCTCCTCTACTTGGTCGATCGTTGCGTAGAATAGACATCCCAGGTACTGCGATTTCTGCATCAGTGATCTCTTCATTCAACCAGGTCTCGGTTATCATAACAAAGTCGCTTGACATCGAGGTCTGACGTAGGCGGAGCTCCGTCAGTTTGCTTAAAAGACCTTGTGCGTTGGTATAAAAACAGGAGAGTGACTCATAGGTTAGAAGGTTATCTGTGGATATAGACAACAGATTTGAGACTTGGCCGACCGTCTTAAGGTCGGCTGCTACTAGTACTTTGGAATTGTTTTAGGCTCGCGAGAATGACTTGGGATAACTCTTTGCACCGTGTGATCAGGTTCATGATGATCCTGATGGTCACTCACCTCCTGCAATACTTCGCCGGATGCTATGACGACAGTCAGATCAGTCTCTGTGGTGGACTCTGAAACAACGGTTGTTCCCACTGAGTTGGTTCTCTCCATGGAGTAACCAGTAGCGTCTGGTCGTAAACCTGCTGCTTTAATTCGAATTTCTGTTGGTACATGTTCCGGAATTTACCCCAGTTCTCTATAACTGTCTGTAAAGTTAGCTCAGACGGCAAGACCAACTTTAGCAACCTAGAACCACACCCTTTGTAATTTGGTGACACGGGAATCCAACAAAATCCGAAACGATCTAAAGACTGATCCACCTATGCAACCGTTGCTGCTGGGGTATAATCGTAGTGCGATCTCAATAGCCTCACAGTACAGTCGCAAAATGGATAAAGGACCAGGTGCAACCTGCAGAGTCGCCAATAAATCCCTCGATAACCGTGCTTTCCACACCACCGAACACCAGTCTGAACTACAGGGCTTTGACACTTACATATACCAACGTTTCTGAGTCCAAGGTGTACTCATTAAAGGGTACATAGCAGGATGATTTAAAGCATTGGAATTTCCTTTGTGACAAAATCGGTATTCAAGCTAACCTAATGCGCATCACTTGGCATCCAACCTCAAATCTTTAGAGGAGTCTCGACAAATGCGTGACATTAGAGTAAATAGATGAACTCGAGACGGTGATTTGGTCGGCATAACGCCTGTGGACTGAAAACAGTGGAATACGCATATTAGCGGATGTTCCTTGGAGCGAAAGCCAGCGGGACAAAAATATTTCAAACGAGAAACGCACGGAGAGTAGCAAAAGAATTATTTTCATTCATGACGTGCCCGAGCTACCGAGAACCAGTAACGAAGTATCCCACGCGCATGACCTGGATGAGTGATGTTACATCGGTGAAGCTCTCTATGTTGGCGATGTCATACTTCAGTCGAGTAAACAGTTACCAGTGTCGCTAACCTAGAGAGGCAGTGCCCTAAGGATACTGAAACTAACGGTACATTCAAAACAGATAACCGTGAACTTAACACATATCTGGCAGTTACTACACAACACACTTCTTTCGGAACTACGCCTGAAGGCAGCTGTTAGACAGCGTCAGCTACTCGCTGTTCTCGCTGAAACGACACCACCCGCGACTCATTATAACCACAAATCCAATACAGAAATGTGTGCGCTAAGACCCGTAGCTTTCGATGAGGCTGCGGATGGACTACATACCGCAGGAGCAAGGGAGACCAAAAACGGATTGCATTCCTATCGAGGTATGGCAATTCAGCCAAAAAACGATTGGGTGCCAACCTCTCATTGGTCGGAACAGGACAACTTCATTCGCGTGCTCCTAATCAACAGCATTTAGTATCCGAGAAACTTTCCTGTATAAACACCAACACTAAAGTCTTACTGAGTAAACCTTCCGAAATGTCGCTGCGACAAGGATTAAAAGCTTGTGACCTCATCATTATAACGTAGATATGCTAACGTCTGACGTAAGTGACGTGTGGATCGCACTGCCACGCACGTCCACTGTCGGCACGGCCGAACCAGCAAAGACGCAGGGATAACTCTGCATTCCGCAACGACCCCAATGTGAGCTCATAGATGACACGGTCTACACGGTACAAGATTCGCTAGTGCCACATTTGTTGTAAAGGCGGCGTCACTTGCTCAGTGGCGTTCAACCACCTTCCTCCTCGCTCGAGATGAAATTCTATCTGCCATCCGCAATAAGCAGGGGGATAAACAAACTTACAGTCACATTCTCCTTACTGGCGATTTCAACATCCACGCCTTGAAATCCCAAGCAGCGGCCCAAGAACAGTCTAAGGCCCATGTACAAGAGTTTGTCTTCAGTTACCCGCTATATGGCCGCATCAAAACTCATGTCCGATTCCGAGCTAAAGATAAGCACTTGATATTGGAGAGGATATTCACCAACGAATAACTAATGCCAAATCAGAATATGAGGAGACCAAGATTGTCAGGGGACATTGTCATTTTGTGCGTATTCGTCAACTGTAATACAAGCACCAAAAACGAAATGCAAAATAACAAGGCCACATAAAATCAATTATAGATTCTAGGTTTTCGGATTGGTGCTTTTCACACTACCACGGTAGGCTTAATGTCACCCTCAGCTGCTTTTGGACACACAGCGTCGAGCGTTGTCGATGGATCCCAATGGCCTCGAGTAGCTTGAGTATATAAGATTTTTGACTGCGCATGTGAACTGTGAATGACTCATCTGGCTTCACTTGGTGACTGGTACTCGTCAAATGTCGCTTAATAGCGGAAGCAACTTTGCTGCTCTAATCAACGTACGTGATTGTCGTACTTTCCATCTGTTTCTGGAGTCATTTTGGAATGTGTTCATTGATCCGAGCACCCAGATTTCGAGTAGTGCGCCCAACACAGCTGTCACCACAGCCAACCGTGCATTTGTATAACCAATGAGATTTTCACTGTTTCGACACAGGCGTCTGCACTGAACGCTTAAGTATTGGTCTTGAGTTTAAGGGTGAGATTTTTGACGTCCACTTGTGAAGCAGCGTTCATGTAGTCCTACTCTTCGAATACGTTTGCTTTGCAGAATATCCCGTATAAATTGCCGACAAAACAAACACGACAGTTTTTCTAAAATTTGTGCCGAGCGGTCGCAAAAACTGTCCTGCTGCGTTATTTGCCTCCAAATCTTTGGATTTATTCTCACTGAGACCTATGTGCCATCATTCGATTTGGCTCCGCGAGCTCCTCCTACCACTGATCATCTGTTGGATCTATCATTCACTTATCATCAGCAAACTGTGCTCTTGCAACTTCGAAGTCAACCGTATTTGAACCTAATCGGAGGTTTTATTTTTCCTCTTTTCGCATAAGAACTCTTGTGGTCTTATTTTAAAGATCTTTTTGAGAACCACCCGATCAGCTTCCTAACATTCCTTCAAGTCGCTCTACAAAGCAGTAGTCGTCAATTTGATCCGCCCTTGCAACTGCCACTCTCGTCATTAGACAGTATTTTCCAAGTCACCTTGCTTTGCCTCAGTCCTACGTCTCATCGCTGCCTACCCTCTACCGGCTGGATCGATAGCAAGCACGTCGCCTATCTACCCTAAAGAATGTGTGACTCATCTGGCGGCTACAAGCCTGGACGCGCTGACCTCAAACCAGCGCTGATTGTCAAGAAACGGTGTGTCAGTATCTCCATACCCTTTCTACCTCTTAAAACAGCACCCCTACTGAGAATATGTCTTGGGGGAAGAGCAAATGCGAACCATGTGCTAAAGTGGTATAAGGTGGTCAGGTATGTAACGTGTGTTTAAAATCCTATCATACTACCTGCCTTGGGAAGGGGTCGACGAAGCAAACACCGCAGAGGCGTTTTGGTTCTGCCAAGTATGCAAGTTTATTCCATTTGTTAGCTGTCTATCCGTGCTACTGAAGAGGTGTGAAAGACTAACCGAAGCGGTCGAGCAACTGGTGAGCACCCGAGTTGCACCCATGGGAGGAAACGGACCTGCACTTATGAGTGAAAATAACACCATGAATTCCCTAGTCAGGCCGAAGAAGCGAGCCAGGCGTCCTTACCTAACCCCAACGACTCAGTCTCCCGCAATATCAACTCCATTTCTCCCCTCCTATAAGTAAAAACCGTGCCTGCAGCGCGCCTGCTTCAACTTCTGTACTCTGTGCAGCACCTAGTATTCCGTCCTCTACACTCGAGGCTGTAAGCTACAATCAATCAGCAATAGTGAACAACCGAGCAACGTACGCATCGATTTCCGCCAAGCAAACACCGGAAAGAGCACCGGTAACCTTTGAACCTGGATTAGAGAAAACAAAACGGCCGCATCACGGATGTCACCCGTCAGTGCCGTTCACAATTTCAACAAAAACACCGGATACTAAGCTTCCAAATCCAAAACCAGTAGCTTCCAGGCGCAACCATGGTGCCCTAAACATTGTATGCACAAATGTTCCCGAATCCAAAGCCAATAAAATTAAGCGTAGGTTGACGGACCATCGAAATCAGTGGAGTCCCATCTGTACGTCGATCGGTGTTCATGATAATCCCGTGAAATTAAGAAGAATCTCGAGCCACCCAAACGCGTTGAACTACGGCGGACCCCGGTTATTTCGGGTAACACTAAACTCGACCAACGAGACTAAGGCCGTTCTGCTTCATGCGAATCGTCTCCGCAACGACTCAAGTGGAGTGCGCATACTACCCGGAATCCCGTGGAAAGAAC